TGAATATTTATGCATTGATATTGGCATATATCTCTAAAAAAAGATGCAAGTTTCCTTCATGCCCACATATGAACACACACACATACATATACATGTGCATGGTTCTTTCACATATAATTACATATTATACAGACATGAACATACATATATACATACATGCACAATGTCTTTAGCACTTACCTAACAGCATTCCTTGCTTTTCATTCACAAATAAAACCAGTCCAAAGCTTCAGAGGGGCTTTAATGCATGCATGAATAGATACATATGCATATACCCACATGCACAAATGTATATAGATGAATAAATATAGAATCTATATTATGTGAGATATTATCTATAACATGGTATGTTATAACTCAAGCTAGGTTGAGGTCCACGACAGAATGACTCAAACCTCTGGCTTCAATGAAGATTAAAGAAAACACTAAACTGGGCAGAGCCAAGATGGTGGAGTAAAGGTGGGGACTCACCTAAGCTCTACCTCAAACCCCTCCACATACCTTTAAATAATGACTATAAACAAATTCTAGAGAGGTGGAACCCACAAAAAAGATGGAGTGAAACAATTTTCCAGCCCAAGACAACTTATCAGGTCTACAGGAAAGGTCTGTTGTACCAGGGTGAGAGAGGAGCAGTCTGGCACAAGCCTCACCAGCACATACCTGGCCCAAGCAAACCAGGAGTAAGCCTTGGGAGGCACTGAATCAGCAGCAGCAGCAGCTCTTTTTGTGGTGGCAAAGAACTGGAAGTTGAGGGGATGCCCATCAATTGAGGAATGGCTGAACAAGCTGTGGTATATGAATGTAATGGAATACTATTGTTCCATAAGAAATGATGAGCAGGTGGACTTCAGAAAAACCTGGAAAGACTTACAAGAACTGATGCTGAGTGAAGTGAGCAGAACCAAGAAAACATGATACACAATAACAACAATATTTTTCAATGACCAACTTTGATAAACTTAGCTCTTCTCAGCAATGCAATCATCTAAGACAATTCCAAAAGACTCATGATGGAAAATTCTAGCCACATCCAGAGAAAGAACTATGGAGTCTGAATGCCGATTGAAGCATGCTATTTTCTCCTTTTTTGTTTCTTCTTTCTCATGGGTTTTTCTTTTTGGTTTTGATGCTTTACAACGTGATTGATGTGGAAATAAAAAAATGATCTTGTCTCTGCTACTTGGTACCTGAATAACCTTAGACCAAAGACCTATCTCATTTATCTTATTTATCTCTCTGGGTTTCAGTTTCCTTATCTTACTGAAACATGACCATCCCAAATGCCCCTTAAGCATTTCACTGGCTTTAGGGAGTTACCAGGCCATTAAGGTCACCACTTTTATAGCCTCCAACCTGCAACCCACTAACCCCAGAGAAGAACCCCCAGAATCCTAAAGAAATCTTGAGACAAGCGGCTGAATGGAGACCGTTGTGGGGAGCTCAGCACAGGAAATACCCAACTCCTGAGAGTTCTACCATGAGGAAATGCTGTCTGAATAGGGAAAAGGAAGACTGAATATCCTTCCCTCCACCTCACACAGTAGGGGAAGATAACATGAAAAAGGAGCTGGGGAGGAGTAGGACCTGGACAACGACATGGTGAAGAAAGAAGTTCAAAGAACAAGACTGGTGCCCACAGAGGAATGAAGGCGTGAACGTGGCTGCTTTAGGACTCCTTCCTTAAAATGATGGTTTCTGGAGGAAATGGACTATCAGAAGAACGGCCTGCAGCAGCAGAGGGATCTTCTAACATGAGAAGGCTGCTAGAGCATGGTGAAAAAAGAAGTCTGGAGAGTCAGAAGCAGGTCCAACAGAGGGATGAAGGAGTGCACATGGCTGGCCTACAGCTCCCTTCCTCAACATGGAGGTTCTTGGAAACACAACAACAAAAAATCAAAAATCAAACCATCAAAAGAAGGACCTTTATAGAGGATAGATAGGAGGAGGGAGAGGTTAGATGCAGGAAAAATAATCATGAGGCTAATGAGGAGAATCATTTTGTTGCTTCTTTGCTCATTTGCTGTTTTATTTGCCTTGCTTTGAACTAATTCTGTCTTTTAGTTGAGTATAGAAGAAGTGAATAAATTGGTGAGGGTTGTGAGTTATGGTTTGAATGAATGTGAACTCAAGACAAGTCTTGTTTGTGGGGGTGCACTATGCAAGTTGGGGTGTGGGTGTCCCCAGCTGCTACATATAGATGAATAATAATACAAAGTTTTGGCTCTAAAATAACTTATATTCTGGGGGAAATGTACACAAATAACTAAAATATGAAAAAGTAAAAAAGAAAATACAAAAAAAGTATGGGAGACATGACATATTTGGGGAACAGGGAGGAGGTAGATATTTAAGCTGGGAATTGAAAGATAAATAAAATGTGAATAAAAGGAGGGACCAGTGAACAAAGGTATAAAATTGGGAAAGAGCAGAGTCTACATTGGGGAAGAAGCATATGCACAGGGCAGTGTGGTGTGGTGAATGGACAGAGCATGTGACTGAGAGTCAAGAAGGCACCGAGTTCAAACCTTGCCTCAAACTAATTCTGTGTGATCCAGGGCAAGGCACTTAACATATGTCTCAGCTTTCTGATCTTCAAAATCAGGGGTTTGCTCCTGATGGCCCTGGAGGTCCCTTTTTAGGTATAAATATATGATCCTATGAATGGTGAATAGTCTAATCTGGCTACAATGTAAGGTATATAAAAAGCACATTAAGGGGGCAGCTAGGTGGCGCAGCGGATAGAGCACCGGCCCTGAAGTCAGGAGGACCTGAGTTGAAATCCGGCCTCAGATGAAACACTTGACATGTACTAGCTGTGTGACCTTGGGCAAGTCACTTAACCCCAATTTCCTCACCAAAAAAAAATAATAATAAAAATAAATAAAAAGCACATTAAGCCTGAAAAGACAGGCTAGGTCTGGATCATGAAGAGCCTTAAATGTCCTGTTTGAGGCACACATCATACTGTTTTAGGCACTGATTAGAATTTGCTGTGGAGGAAGATTCTACAGTGATTCACAGTATAAAGTTACACTGTTTTAGTGACCTTCCAGGTAAATGCTCAGTCATCTACCACATCAAGGCATCGAATGGGTAGAAATCAACTTAAAAATACTGTTTAAATAGGGTTAAATATTAGTAATATAATTAACCTAGGAAACTTGTAACTGAAAATATAAAATTTCCAACCTCATCATTAAAGAATTTCACAAAAATCTGTCTCCTTTACATTTTAAATTTTGCCATTGATGCTTTATTCTCATTATCCCAAGGTTAATTCCCGGGATAGTAATTGCAGATAAATATATCTATATCATAGTCTCTATCCTAAAATTACATAATTGCCAAAGACAGCATTTGAGTGAAGAATTTGGTCACATGCTGTGCAGTTTTTGGACTGATATTACTGTTTATTTTGGATATAGGACAAGAAAGGGCACCCTTAGCTAGATGACCACAGCCACTTCCCTTGGGTGATTTTCCACTGCAAACACTGAAGAAAACACGATGGGGTTTGGGGAGTGGTTCTCTTATAAGACTGCATTCCTAGGGTCAAGAGCCTTTCCGATCTTTTCCCTTTTCTAATGGGTCCTCTCTCTCCACTCTGGCACAACATCATAGCACAAGCAATGCACTATATCCATTATATTAATTTATTATATTATGTTAACTTCAAAAACTATGTGAGGGAATCTCAGGTGCTGCCTATACACAAAAAAGTCAATCACAAGGATTGTTTTGCCATCTTGTGGCTTGGTTCACCATGACCAAAATCTTTTTTTTTTTTTTTTTTTGGTGAGGCAATCGGGGGTAAGCGACTTGCCCAGGGTCACACAGCTAGTAAGCGTCAAGTGTTTGATCTGAGGCCAGATTTGAACTCAGGTCCTCCTGACTCCAGGGCCGGTGCTCTACCCACCGCGCCACCTAGTTGCCCCCATGATCAAAATCTTCACTGTCTTTACCCTCAGTCTCATTCCCAAGCTGTTACTATTTTGTTCCTTTCAAATCAACAAGCCCCTTTGCTAGGACACTGTCCTTTGATAATTTACCCTTTAACCCATTTAGTACCATTTTGGTAACTGGAAGTAAAAAGTTTTTTACTAACTGGATTAAAGTTTACCCTACAGTTTAAGGTTAAAACTACTATCTTGGTAGGCATCTGAACCTTCACTCTGATGGTGTCTCCTTTGATCCTGTGCAAAATCATTCTTTCATTGGCCATTCTTCTACCCTTGGCTCACAGCATCCTCCCTGATTGACCTTCCTCCTTGATCACATGCTTTTTGCTTTTTTTTCTCCCTGAACCACCAGTTCCTCAAAATGTTACCAGGTTCCTATGAAGGTTAGCATCCCTAACTGGAATGGAGCTCCCATCTGCCAATTACAGGATCATGTTGAAAATATCATTAATTCCACATTATGCCCTGAAATGTTATAGATTAGTATGGTTAGAGCTAGAAGCAAGCAGAAAGGTCAATCAAATCAACTCTTTCATTTTTACAGATAAGAAAACAACAACCCAGAGAGGTTAAACAATTTGCTCAGGGTCATGCAGGCATAATCATCCCTGAATTAGTCTTTTCTGTAGAGAATTAAATGACTTAATGCTCCAGATTTGCATTATTTAATTCAAGAAATATATAAACTTTATCCTTATAAGCCATAGTAGAACTTGCATCTCATAAGTACTTTATCAATCTTCTCATCTGTCAAAGGTTTTTGCTATGTGGAATAAGGCTGCATTCCACTAATTTTATCACTAATAGAAATTCTCACAATTCTTATGTGGTACTAAAAACCCTGGGCTTAGAAATGTCACAGATTATTGTATCTTTGAAACATCAATGATTTTTACTCATGTGAGCTGCTTCATTCAATATGGCTTCCACATTCATGAAAGGACTTTTGTAGTGAGAAACCTCAAATCACATTGTAAAAGTTACCCTTGTATTTATCAAAAGGCAGTCAAGAGAAAGATCTCTTCAAATGTCTTTATTTGCCTCTTAGCTACAAGTCTTGTGATTTAAACTTATTGTGAAGAAACAGAAAATGGCCCAGTATTATGTCGATGTTAAATTTTAAGTCTTTCTTCTGGAAACATGGTCATAGATGACAACTTGTAGGTAGAGGTCTGTTTGGATAGGAGTTCTTGTAGAGTTATCCCCTGGGTGAACCTGAAACACAAATCATATACATCATGAGCACTCAAAGAATGTTTTCTTCCATTTTATTGTTAAATCTTAGAGAAATCAACAATTTGTGGATTTAGAGAAATTGCAATTACTTTTCTTCAGAAGTTTTTTGGCTGGGAGGATTGACAATTTAGATTTAGAAGTTGTGACTTGCAACTCAAGGCACCCCTCCCTCCCCACAGCACAATGAGGGATGGGATAGGATTTCATGGCAGCCTCAGGGACTATTTTAGAAAAAAAAAACAAGGCAGGCAAAACATTTTCTATGACTAGAAAAAGGTAGATGGGCTTTTGTACTTTTAGCATAGAGATGGAAATTGCATGGCTTGCTAGCTTCCTTTTTGCTTCTGCTATAAACATGGAAGATCAGGAAAGAGGAGTAACTAATCAGAGAAAAGCATTAATTATTGCTTGTGCTGGGTTGAGTTAAAAAAAATACTGGGAGAGAACTGAGAAACAGTCAAGCAAGAAAGAGAATATCTTTGGACAGATAACAGTCTTGGACAAAGCATGTACTTCATAGTTTGGAACACAAGATTAGGTGAATTAAGACACTGAATGCCACCTTGTGGCTACATATCCTCTATGTGGAAACTACCATTAAAGGTGAATGAAGCAAAATTATTACCACCCAACAGAAGAATCCAGCACCTTGAGTGTGAAAACTACAAATCTAAAAAATGACAGCAAATTGTTGTTCAGTTGTGTCTGACTTTTCATGACCCCATGGACCACTCTGTCTATGGGGTTTTCTTGGCAAAGATACTGGAGTGGTTTGCCGTTTCCTTTTCTAGTAGATTAAGGCAAAGAGGGTTAAGTGGCTTGCCCAGGATCACACAGCTAGTGAGTGCCTGAGGCTGGATTTGAACTCTGGTCTTCCTGACTCCAGGCTTGGTGCTCTATCCACTGAGCCATCTATACCTGCCCGTTCAGTATTCACAAATATTATTTGGAAATACTAGGAACCTGTAGTGGCACACTGCTGAGGCATCATCATTTAGAACAAGGGCTCTTCCCCCCCCTCACCCCCACCTTTTTTGTCATGGACCCCTTTGGCAGTGGTGAAGCCCCTGGACTTCAGAATAATATTTTTAAATTCATAAAATAAAATGCATAGGATTACAAGGAAAAAATTTACATTGAAAATTACACTGAAATATCATCAAAATATATAAAGCAGGTTGTAGTGTAGTAATATATCTAGCAGCGAGCCAAAAACAAACAAACAAACAACTAGAAATTTCAAGTAGTGATGAATGTATAAAGTATATTTCAAAGCATTGGCAAGGACTGAAATGTGCTAAGAAAATGTCTGTGATTTCTATTGTGACAGTCACAAGTTCTGCTTACATTATTTTTTTTTTTGGCCTATCTTCTTAATTAAAGAAAATGCTGTAATTTAGTTGGAGGTTAGTGAAAATAAATCTGTAATAAAGATGTACATTCTTTTCATCCAAGTTCACGGGCCCCTAAATCCAGTCACAGTCACCTTGGGGATCTGTGGAACCCATGTGAAGACCCACTGATTTAGAGAGATTCACAGGCATACATTTACATGTAGTTTTGTGCAATGCTACAGATGGAATTAAGTCTCATCTTCTAAAAACTTAAAATTTAAGATGGCCACATACAGAGATTGTACATCTAGACAAATCATCAATTAAAAAAAGACAAATAACACATTAATATCCTATCCACTGTCAGTTGTGAGTCTCTTCTGTCTCTGTCTTATTTTCTTGTATTTATAAATTTTGCTATTATTTTCAAAGAAGCCACTTCTAGTTTTATCAGTTACATAGTCTTTTTTGTTTCCAATGTAACTATATATTTTAGTTTTCAACATTTCCTTTTTTTAAATTGGGGATTTGCTGGATTTCTAGTTCATGTTATTAACATTCTCTTTTTCTATTTTATTAATGTATATTTTATGAATGTAATTTTTCCTCTGAGGTCTGGTTTTCAGGTAATTCATAGTGATTTGTCCTTTGATCTACTAATTTAGAATTTCATTATTAAGTCTTAATTTGGGCTTGAATTGTTTGCTTCTGGTCTCTGAATTGCTCTTTTAATTGAGTTATAGTTAATTGGGTTAAAGATGTGCTTTGTTTTTGTGTTATTTGCTTTATTTAGAATTTCTCTGTGACTTCATAAATTTATTTTATTGTCAAGGTGTCATATGATGCTGAGAAATGTACATTATATTTTCTGAAGATGCCATAAATCTTTTAGCTTGATCAATTAGTTCAGTTCCATATTTTCCCTTTTGCTTACTTTGTTAGATGTATTCCGCTCTGAGAAAAGAATACAAAAATCTATTGTTATTGTTACTGTCTGTGTTTTGTCCATTTTATAAATTTTTTATGAATTTAAATGCTGTGCCATTTAATGTATACAAGATTAATACCGATAGTGGTTCATTGCCTAGGTTCTTTTAAGTATGGTATTTTCTTGTTTATCCCTATTACTATTTATTTTATTCTTATTCTGTCTGAAAGCATGATTGTAACTTCTGCTTTAAAAAAATCAATCTCATGCATATGAAAACTTAGTTTCAGTTTTTTATTTAAATAGGTGCTTTTTAAATAGTGTCATTTATTTTCAAATCTGTATAAGGTTACTAATTCTTTTTCTTTGAGGGTGGTGTGAGGTAACAACTAAGCACAGCTAAGCAAAACAAATTCATCCATTTGTCATGTCCAATAACATATCTGGTCTAATAGAATTTTTATAGTCTTTTACCTGAGTGAAGTTTTTTCATATTTAATACTAAGTTGTTTATCCTCCTTCTATGAATTTCCTCTTGAGCTTCCATTTAATTTATAACATCATTTAAAAAAAAAACACTTTGCTTCATTTCTTCCAGGAATTCCAATGGAGCATTTGGTAACTCTGTGGTTTTCTCTGAAGCCTTATTTATAAATGATGTGGAATTCTTTCCCCCTCCCCCAGATTTGTGTCTTACCTAGCTCCATAATATTATCTGTTTTGTTTACTCACTTTCCCCAAATTAATTTCTGATTTGATATTCTATGTATTTTGTTAATCACTGCCTTGATTTCCAGGATTTCTATTTTGGTGTTTAATTGTGGGTCTTTAATTTGATGGTTCTCTATTTTTTTAGTAGCATGCCCAATTCATCGATCTGCTCTTTCTCTCTTTCTTTGATGAAAGTATTTAGAGATATAAATTTCCCCCTAAGTATTGCTTTGGCTATATACCACTACCTTTGGTATTTTGTCTCAATGTTGTCATTATTTTTAAGGAAATTATTGTTTCTTTGATTCTTTGATCCACTCATTCTTTATAATTAAGTTATTTAATTTGCAATGAATTTTTAATCCTTGATTCAAAGGTCCTTTATAAAATGTAACTTTTATTGCATTCTGGTCAGTAAAAGATACATTTACTATTTCTACTTTTTTGTATTTGTGAAGTTTGAATGTCCTACTACATGGTCAGTTTTTGTGAAGATGCTATACACAGCTAAGAAACAGGCAAACTCATTCCTATTTAATACTCTCCAGAGTTCATCTCCTTACCTTCTTCCTTGCTTATTTTTGGTTTGGTTTATTTTGCTCTAAAAGGGATAAACTAAGGTCAGGATTCCCCATGTCATGTAATCCAGGGTGAGATCTCTTCATTGCCCTCTTAATCTGAGCTCTACAAGTTCCTGACCCAGGCTTGGGTTTGTCCTTGGTTGAGAGCTTCAGCGGACCACTGCTGGACTCAGTCACTGTTAGCTTACTGAGAGACACTGCAGGTTCAAAGTAACTGAACTGCTGGCTCCCCTTTGTTCTGGGGATCCTGCCCTGGTTACTACATTGCAGGCTTAGATTCTGGGCTAAAAGCTAGACTTGAGTCATTGTTCCACTTCTTCATATCAGAGTCACACACACAGTTAAGTTTCAGGAATTTCTTTGCTTTGGTCCACACTCAGGACGGCTCTTCCCTGTCCTGAATCTGTGACCCAGAACTGGGTAGAGGGCAACAGACCTGACAAACTTAGGGAGCCCCTGAGGTCTCTTTCTGCCCTAGTGTCCTGTCTTGGCCCCCTTTCAGTCCCTGGGTACTGGAAAGCTCTATGTTGCATGCTTCTGGGCAGACTCTGAGCCCATTTTTAAAGACCTTCCTAAGATCTGTTTTCCCAGCTGCTCTGGGCTGGAAAAATGACTCATTGCAACTTTTTCTTGGTTTTCCTTATTAGAATGTGGTCTCATGTATTTTCTAGATCATTGTGGGGAAGGGATAGTGGGGAGCTAGGCTCTAATGCTACTTCTCATGCCACCATCTTGACTCCACCTCCCAAAGCTATCATTTAATTTTAGTTGACTCTCTAAGGTTCTCTTAATATATCTTTATACAAAATACAAGCAAATATGATACTTTTATTTCTTTTCTGCTTGTAATTATTCCCTCATTTTTAAAAAGTCTCATTGTTTATAGTTAGAATTTCTAGTATGCTATCAAATAGAAGTGGTAACAATGGGAATCCTGGATTCTCTACTGGTCAATCATTCAGTCATTTCCAACTCTTTGTGACTTCCTGGACCATAGCACACCAGGGCCTTCTACCCTCCACTACCTCTTGAAGTCTGTCCAAGTTCGTGTCTGCTGTTTCCATGACAGTATCTTGCCATCTCATCCTCTGTTGTCCCCTTTACCTTTTGCCTTCAATCTCTCCCAACATCAGGGACTTTTCCAATGAGTTCTATTTTATTGTGCAGCCAAAGTATTTAAGCTTCAGCTTCAGTATTTGACCTTCCAGTGAAAAGTTGGAATTTCTTTAAGTATGGACTTATTTCATCTCCTTGTTGTCCAAGAGATTCTCAATAGCCTCCTCCAGCACCACAACTCAAAAACATTGATTCGGTGGTGCTCAGCTTTCCTTATAGTCCAACTCTCACAGCCATACATTGCTACTGCAAAAACAATTTTGTTTTCTATGCTTTGATTTTATGGATCTTTGTCAGCAAGGTAGTGTT